TGGCCTCCCCCTTCCCCTTCCCTCACCCTCCTCTTCCCTCCTTCATTCTAGGCTATAGTTCTGTTTTATCTTTCATATGAAAGTGTGGGTGGTTATATATTGGTTCCATAATAGTACTGAGTACATTGGATACTTTTTCTTCCTTTCTTGAGATACTTTAATAAGAAGAATATGTTCTAGCTCTATCCATATAAACATAAAAGAGGTAAAGGCTCCATCTTTTTAAGGCTGTGTAATAGTCCCTGGTGTATATACCACAGTTGATTAATCCATTCATGGGTTGATGGGCACTTGGGCTTCTTCCATGACTTGGCAATTATGAATTGGGCTGCAATAAACATTCTAATGCAAATATCGCTGTTGTAAAATGATTTGTAGTCCTCTGGATATATACCTAGTATACCTAGTAGAGGAATTGCAGTATCAAACTGCAGGTCTATTTTAGTTCCCTAAGTGTTCTCCAAACTTCTTTCCAAAGGAACATATTAGTTTGCATTCCCACCAGCAGTGCAGAAATGTTCCCTTTTCTCCACATCCATGCCAACATCTGTAGTTTTGGGATTTTGTTATGTGGGCTACTCTTACTGGAATTAGATGATATCTCAAAGTGGTTTTGATTTGCATTTCTCTGATGATTAAAGATGATGAGCACTTTTTCATGTGTCTGTAGGCCATACACCTGTCTTCTTCAGAGAAGCCTCTGTTCAAGTCTCTTGCCCACAATGAAATGGGATCACTTGTCTTTTTTCTTATAAATTAGTTTGAGTTCTTTGTGGATTCTAGTTATCAAAGCTTTATCAGAAACATAACCAGCGGGGGCGCCGACCTCTGGCGGCAGCTGGCGGGCGCACATGGGGCGCGCGGCGCGGAGGCGCTGCCCGCGGGGCCCACGACGCTGCCGGGAAGCGCTGCTGGTGCTGCTGGCGTTGCTGGCGCTGGCCCGGCTGGGCTTGGTGCTGCGCGCCCCGGAGCCGGGACCCCAGCGCACCGCACCCCCCAGGCGCCTGGAGCCGGTCCTGTCGCGGCCCCCGCTGCCCCTCGATGCGCTGTGCGCGCTAGGCGAGGCGGTGCGGCTGGACCTGCAGGGAGAGGAGCTGCGGCTGCACCAGATCAGCATTTACCTCAGCGACCGCATCTCGCTGCACCGCAGCCTGCCTGCGTGCTGGAACCCGCTGTGCAGAGAGAAGAAATATGATTATGCTAATATGCCCAAGACATCTGTTATCATAGCATTTTATAATGAAGACTGGTCCACTCTCCTTCGGACAGTTTACAGTGTCCTTGAGACATCCCCGGACACCCTGCTAGAAGAAGTCATCTTGGTTGATGACTATAGCGGTAGAGAACACTTGAAGGAGCGTTTGGCCAACGAGGTGTCAGGCCTGCCCAAGGCGCGCTGATAAATGCGAACAAGAGAGAGTGCCTAGTGCGAGCCCGGCTGCTGGGGGCGTCCGCGGCAAGGGGCAACGTAGTGACCTTCCTGGACTGTCACTGTGAGTGCCACGAGGGGTGGCTGGAGCCGCTGCTACAGAAGATCCATGAAGAGGAGTCGGCAGTGGTGTGCCCAGTGATGGATGTCATCGACTGGAACACCTTTGAGTACCTGGGGAACTCCGGGGAGCCCCAAATTGGTGGTTTTGACTGGAGGCTGGTGTTCACGTGGCCCACGGTTCCTGAGAGGGAGAGGCAGCGGATGAAATCCCCCATCGAGGTCATCAGGTCTCCAACCATGGCTGGAGGGTTGTTTGCGGTGAGTAAGAAATATTTCGAATATCTGGGATCTTATGATATAGGAATGGAAGTCTGGGGAGGAGAAAACCTCAAATTCTCCTTTAGGATCTGGCAGTGCAGTGGGAGTCTGGAAACACACCCATGTTCCCACGTTGGCCATGTTTTCCCCAAGCAAGCTCCCTACTCCCTCAACAAGGCCCTGGCCAACAGTGTCCTGCTGCTGAAGTGTGGATGGATGACTGTAAAGAGCTGTACTATCATCGCAACTCCCGAGCCACTTCGGAACCCTTTGGGGATGTGACAGAGAGGAGGCAGCTCCGGGAAAAGCTCCAGTGCAAGGACTTCAAATGGTTCTTAGAGACTGTGTTTCCAGAGCTGCATGTGCCTGAAGACAGGCCTGGCTTCTTGGGGATGCTCCAGAACAAAGGACTAAAAAAATACTGCTTTGACTACAACCCTCCCCATGAAAACCAAGTTGCAGGACGCCAGGTCATTTTGTACCTCTGTCATGGGCTGGGACAGAACCAGTTTTTCGAATACACGTCCCAGTATGAGATACACTATAACACTCACCACCCTGAGGTGTGTGTGGCTATGGAAGAAGATTCGGATATCCTCACCATGCATCTCTGCAAAGAAGTCGCCCCAGAGAATCAGAAGTTCATCCTGTAGGAGGATGGTTCTTTATTTCACAAACAGTCCAAGAAATGTGTCCAGGCTGCAAAGAAGGAGTCTAGCGACAGTTTTGAACCACTCTTATGAGACTGCACCAACTCAGATTATCAGAGATGGTTCTTCCAGGAGCACGTGTCCTGAGTGTTGGTGTACCAAGGAGCCCATCAAAGGACACTGTGGGCCTGGGACTTCATGTGCCCTACAAAGACTTAGCTAAGCACAGTGATCATTTTGCTGTTTGTGAAAGTGTTGTTGGATTTAGTAAAAATATGAATAAGATTTGTATTGATTTTGAAAACTTTTAAAATGTTCCAAAAATACCCCATTTTGTAAAGGGTAATCCTAGAATGTTAATCCTTGGTATCTGGAGAATTAAACCCTTGTAATATTTTTCTATCAAGATATATATTTTACAATTGTGCCTTTTAGTCTCACTAGCCAAAAAAAAAAAGTAAATATTTTATTTTATGTTGGTATTTACAAGGATTCCCAGGTATGAAGTTGCCTACAAGGGTAGAAATCAGAGCCCTGCAATGTATAAACTGATAATACCTCAAATGTTGGGTTAGAGTTTTCTCTGTAGAGAGATGGGCCCTATAACTATTGTATCGATTTTTTCAGATCATTGAGATATTCTAGATTTATTTAATAAAGAATGCTTTGGGGGTTTAAAAAAAGAAAGAAAGAAACATAACCTGCAAATATTTTCTCCCATTTCTGAGGGCTGTCTGCTTGCTTTATTTACTGTGTTCTTGGCTGTGCAGAAGCTTTTTAGTTTGATCAGGTCCCAATAGTGTATTTTTGATGCTGCTTCAATTGCCCAGGGGGTCCTCCTCATAAAATATTCGCTCAGACCGATTTATTCAATAGTTTTCCCTACACTTTCTTCCAGTATTTTTACAGTTTCATGTCTTAAGTTTAAATCTTTACCAGTGAGAATCTATCTTAGTTAATTGTGAAAAGTGTGGGTCTAGTTTCAGTCTTCTACAGGTTGCCAGCCAGTTAGCCTAGCATCGTTTGTTAAATAGGGAATCTTTTC